CCGGCGGAAGCAATTCCCCTTTCGCGGGCCGTTTGAAAAGAAAAGGGCTGCGGGGAAAACGGGTCGCCAAGAAAAGTGGGCTAATGCGGCTCGGCGGGGCGCGACGGCAGACCGGGGGGCGCTTGCATGAGTAAACGCGGGCACTCCGCGCTCGGGAAATAGAAAAAACTGCTTTGTGACAAAAAGCACCGCGACAACAGCTTGCCGGACGCCAAATATGGGCGTGTTTTTGTTTTTTTAAAGCTCATCGCAAATGTCTCAGCCGAAGCGCAGTTGGTCTAGTGGTAGAATTCTCGCCTGCCACGCGGGAGGCCCGGGTTCGATTCCCGGACTGCGCATGTCTTTTCGCACCTTTTCACCTCTCACCCTCCAAAAAAAGGGGGAGAAGAAAGAACAAAAAAAGAAAAAACGAACGAAAACAAAAGAAGCGGTTCATGACCCCGCGGTGGNAAAGGGGGAGAAGAAAGAACAAAAAAAGAAAAAACGAACGAAAACAAAAGAAGCGGTTCATGACCCCGCGGTGGCCCGAGGGAAAAGCCTCGCCACCCCGCACACCCCCGGGGGCGCACGGCCTCACAGTTCTTTCTTCTAAAATTTCCAAGGGCCCCGCCTCGCTAACGCATCCCCCCGGCGACAGGCGGCCCCCCCACCCGGGCAAGAGCGCGCGGAGGCTCGCCAACACCGCTGCCAGCGCCTCCTTCGGCATCCTCCACCCCCTCCCCCTTGTTCTTCCATTCCCCGCCGCTTTGCGAGAGCGTTTCGCGGCTCCTCTTTCTTTTTGGCGAACAAATTGGAGGCGCCCCGCGCCTGCGCCGCTTGCCGAGGTAGTATATTGGGATGCCCTTCCCATCCGAACCCCTGACACTCCGCTGCGCCAACAGCGGGCACCCGGCGAGGAACACCGGAACCGTTTCCCCACTATCCAAGAGGGCGGAAAGGACCTCCTTGAGCAGAAGGAGCGTTCTGTCGGTGAACTGCCGTTTGGGTTTTGGCGGCGGCGTTTGTGATGGTGAACGCGATGGGGGTGTGCCCACTTTTCCCCCACCCGGGGTCATTGGTTCCTTTTCCTGTGATAAAGATGGGGTGGCGGATGGCACTTCAAAGTCCTCTACAATGATGCCGTTTTGGGGGTTCGCCCTAACACAATCCGGCGTATTTTCCACAATTATGACATAGTCGATGTTTCGACCCAGTTTTTTGAGGTCTTTTGTATAGTCATCGCTGGTGTACCACGCCTTGTGGCGATATATGAGGTGGTGAATGATATGATCCTGATTTATCTCCTCCAGTATGTTCTTGGCATAGTCTCGCTCCCCAGCCGTCCATACAATAACCTCAAAATCATCCTTAATAGATACAAGTAGTTCCCTCAAGTGCGCCCGAGCATATAAAGGACCCTCGCGCGCGTACACCACCGTTTCGTCCAAATCCAAAACCACAGTATACCTTTTGTCGCTAAAAACCTTCGGCGCCACTAGCCGATCCTCGTGGCGTGTCATGGTCGGCTTTCGCCGCATGCGAAACTCGTCCTCATCAGCGTGACGTGCCGACTCAAAAACATTTTCACGCAACAGCTCACAGCCCTTTGGGGGAGGAGGAGGTGACGTTGTTGTCACGGGCGTTCCGGGCATGCTACCGCACCCTCCTCCCACTCCGCCTCTTTTTTCTCTCCTTTGGTTTGGTGGATGTCCGTGTTTGACCAAACAGGCGCCCACACACACCGAAAGAGAATGACATCAATAAACGAAACAAAACGAGGGAACACAAAGTGCAGAGATTTAGCCATATAACAAAAAAATAAAACACCCCATTTAGGAGAAAAAACAAAATGACACCGAGCAGACAAACACACACAGAGAGAGAGAATAATACACATATGTATATATATATATATATATATGCGTGTGAACGAGCACCGTCCTCAACACAATAAACAAAAAAAATTCATTGAGAGACACACTTAAGGAAATATAAACCCCATGCAATCGCATACATGACTACGTTCTTTGCACACGAAAAGCATCTAGACTCCATCGTTCTCATCCGGATCGCGCAGATCGGTGTCCTCCACAACCCGAGAGTCAAAGACAACTTCATCTTCTTCCCACCACGCAGAAGAGTCCAGCCGTCCACAACTAACAACTGGTGTATCTTTCGACGTCTTCACCACCACCTGCGTATGTCTTGGGCACGCTGGGCAGGGCAAATACGGATCTTTCTTGCCAAAGTTCACATAACCACCTGAAAATAGAGCACACACTGTGTGGTAATTCTCATGACAATCTGGATGATAGCAAGAGACACTCGCTCCAGGCATGCCGCACAGCTCGCACATTTGCATTGGCAAATCGCAAAACACTACATCCTCCAATTCAGATCCTTTCTGGTACCCACTGCAAAGATGGACACAACGGCAATGTACAACATGTACAGTGCGTGTTCGGAGATCTACAAAGTGTTCAGAGCAGACGAGGCGATTTCGTGGCTTTCCATCCTTGGTTCTCCGACGATCAGACAACGCGTGGCGGAGCTCTGCCATGGTTGGAGTGTGCCGGCCCATGTTACGACTGCTATTCTTCAATAAGTCCTCTACCAGACGAAGGGTACTCTCATCTTCACAGTTGATACCGCAAATAATGCATGCCTGATTTACTTCTTTCCGCCGACGGATGCGGTCCTTTTTCACCTCTTCTTGAACTGCCTGCTGCTCCACAATGGCGTCACGCAACCGAACATCCTTAAGGGTGACCTGCGGTGTGTCGGGTTCCCATGGCAGAGGCTCTTCTCGGACCCGTTTTGATAGAAACTGAGCCTGCTGCCGCTTAACCTGCTCACCCATTTGAGAAGGAACTACACCTGAAACAGACATGTTACCTGAAGAAATACTACTGGTAAAGGAAAGCATTGTTCGTCTGGCTCCGCTCTGCCCTGATGATGACGACGATGATGACCCAATGGCAGAGTGCACATTTTGGATACTAGGCCCCATTCGGGTATCATGCGAGTCGCGGAAACCGGCAAGGTCACTAAGATTCACGAGACCAGAAGCTAGCAAGTTTTCTCGTACAGACACCACCTGCTCAGACCGCAGTGCAATTGGAACTGGCAGCACCTGCACCACTTCAATCCTCGACCCCCGATCCATTCGAATGAGGAGAGCGTGTTTATTCGTTTGAAAGCGTCTATCAGTCTCATTCTTAACGCGGAGGTAAATGTTTCGAAGCTCCACCACCTGCCTTCGGTCACTCCGCAAATTATCTCGAACAGCTTTCTGCACAACAGCATCAAATGTCACAGATGTTATTTGCTGCTGCGCATCTTCAGCATCACAAAAGTCTATTTCACACACGGACATGTTGGGCTTCGGAGCTTTGAAACGTATAGCAATCACCACAACACGAATAAAGAAATTAGGATACTTAGGAGGACATGTAAGGGAAGCAATGCCGACACGTACACCATCCGAGGCATGTGCTTCCAGCGCCTCCGAAGTTAGAGGCAAAACGACCCCTCCTTTATTCCCTCCGGCTTGCAGGGGGTTATCCGTCGGCCGCTCACGGCCCACCTCCACGTCGAAAGACACCGCCTTCTCTACAATGGAATCATCATCATCGTCATCATTGGCGGACCTCGGGAAGCCGCCATTCGTCCCCAGCGCTACTGCTGCTCCTGTGGGTGACGCCGCCGCTGCTGCCGTCATCGTCGTCGTAGCTTCCTCCACCAATCCTTCTAAAAGCTCACACAAATAAGCATCATCGACTACCACAGTGTCACCTGTTTTGCTGTCTTTGTGGAATACAGTGAAATCACAGGGCGGGACGTCCATGAATCGAAGCTTCTTCTCCACAATAGCACCAATGTCTTGGTACCCGTGGTCATGTGGGTCCGTCACCGTCATGGTGTCACGAAATACACGCTCACCCTGGACCCCGGGCACCTTCGTGAAGCGCAGGCGCAGGGCCACACGCACCACCACCATTGTGGATGGCTTCTAAAATATACACGATCACCAAAAACATTACCAACCCCACAAAAAGAAAGAAAAATAAAGAGCACACAGTGACATAAAGTTCGCACAGGATGTTGCCATCAAAAGGCAAAGGTTGCGGAGACTTTGGTACTCATTTTAACATATGCCTCTTAAAAAGAAACAACAACAACTCTTCTCTGTGAATAAAGTCAGCGAAGGAGATGAAAAATAGCGCCAGGATCAAGTGTGGCAAATTGAAACACCTCACGCAACGCAGAAGTCACCGCCGAGCCTCGCGGCAACGTCATACGAAGCACGCACGTCATACCGCCACGTCTTGCTGGCTTGAGAAAATGGCTCCGCTGCTCTGCACCCCGAATACCTCGACGAGCAATCATGTTTTTGCCTGTAGCAACAAAAAGAGGTGAGGGCTGCCGCGTGATGCCCTCCTGATCTTCATAAAGCTGTGACCGAATGGGCGTGTTCTGGTTACTCTCCCAGCACCACCCTCTTTCGTTATCAAACACACAATATGCAAAGTCCTTTGGACACACAACAAGGCGACGATATGTAGCAGGTGGAGCAGCCTTCATCTGCGGCAATCCTTCTACCTGCAGTTCTCGCCCCAGTCTCTCTGACGCCTCTTTTATTTGATTTCCAGGGGAATGTAAACGCTCCGCCCCGTAACCCATGACAGGGAGAACAACTTGATCTATTCTGTACCGCTTTGCCTCTTCAGCACTTTGTACCACGCGAACGCGTCCCAGCAACGCATTCAAGTGCGCATCACCAGCAACAGAGAGCCACTCAAGATGATGTATGCATGTCATTTCCCCGTTGATATGATCAGCAGGAGCCTCAAACACGTCAAGCGGCTCTCTTGCTTCATCGTCAGGAATCACAAGATCTCCTGCTACAACCTGATCGCCGTACATTTCCCACCGAAGTGATGCAAGTGCATTAAAATGTACATCTCCCACGCTCCTAAGCTTTTCCTGGAGTACCAAACGAGGGATACTTTCACGAATAATCTGAGCCGAGTCATGACATTTGGGAGCGAGATCGGACGCCCTTCCGAGTAAATCACGAAGAAGATGATGATGAGGATAAAACAATCCTGTTTGTGCTCTACGTATCAAGGGTTCATCCTTTTTCAAAGCATATTCCAAACCACTTTTGACGCCTGCCCAACCTACGCGTGTGGATTTTGGATCCGCAAAAATGTCCAGCAAAGGATTTAGTTCCTTGCGAATAAGTGGTGAGCACTCCGTCAGACCCAGCACGTAACTTTGGAGAAACTCCACGTAATCTCGATGCAGAAGATGCCGCCCGCTCTCAAAGGCGCGAAATATACCTACACCATGCCGCGCCAAATGACTATAGTTCAAGAATCCATTGAACTGCAATTTTTCTAAACGGGGGAGAACATCCGCCAAGGCACCTCGCATGCTCCTCAATACAATGGAGTAACGTACATCAGGGAGAAGATGAACTGGCAGAGGCGATGATGCATTGGACAATAGTGGAATGTCGATAGCCTTACCAATACACACAACCCCTTCGGCTGTATGCATTGTCTGCGGGCGCTGAAACTGGCGCCTAGCCTCCCGTGAGGCGGAGCGCACCAATACGAAGCGTTCATGGCAACTACCAAAGTCTACAGGTGTAACAAAGCATACCGGGGTTCCATGAGGACACTTGTCTCTGATAAGAGCAGCAATCACACCATCGGGGACGCCTTCAGCAATCGCACTGACCACAAACGCGACAGAAGTTGTCCCATCACCTTCCTCCTTGTCATTTCGGGTAATGGCAGCATCCGGCCACACCTCCTGAACGACCAAGTCATCGAGAGACCATTTCATTAATCCCGTCACCCGCGAGTTTCTCGCATCCTCAACATCGCCGTAACGGGTATTCGCTGTGCGAAGTGCGGTGATGCCGACGATGTCCTCCATCACTGCGGCATCGTGGGCATACTTCATGGAGCGCCTGAAGTTGATTCTATCCTTGGCCATGCCTAGCTCACTCCCACTGCATGTCCCTCAGATGCCAATGTGCAAGTAGATAAATCACAACATATAGGGGAGTGGAGGGAGTGAGAGAGAGAGAGAGAGACAGATAATAAAGAATCAAAGAAATAGAATGAAAAAGAGCGAGTGAAGATTACAACGACACAATATACATACACAAAAACACAACCCAATAGGAACGCAGAAAATAATAATAATAGTGCCGTCTCCTTGTCCCTACTCTTCACACGTTTGTAAGACTGACATTCGCCTGCTTCGCAAGCTGTTCTCTACGCCACAGCGGCATACAACGGGAGGCATAACCTCCGTGTGGATTCATCATGAAGTACGGCCTATCATTCCAAACACAAAACCCCACACAACTCATAAACCCCACCTGGCCACTCACTACACCACTCAGCCAATACGACCATCCCATACCTGTGAAGAATTCGGCCTGACTGCGAAGAACACGCGACTCGAGAGGTTCCGTGGGGATAGGGTAGCGATAATAAATCCGACGCCCAGCAGAGCTCATGAGGAGACACTTGCGCCAGAACAGAGTCCCCGCACCAATGACACTGCACCACGCAAAACAGTTAACGGCCATGGCTTTCATCCACGCCTGTCCCCAGGTGTTGCGTTTGCTGCTCCACATTGCCTCTGATAGAAAGTAATGTAATGTGGTGCCCGCAAGCACACCCGGGATAGCGATCCAGCCAACCTGCCGCATTGCACCGTTCACCGTATAGTTCACCCGCTTCTCTGCATATATGGACACACCAGTACCGATGCACGACACCATCAGAACTGTCACTGCAGAGAGGAGAACGCCAAAGGACATGCAACAGAAACTGCATTTCCTTTCCTGCGCATTCCTAATCTTTATAGCATTTGGGAGATCACTGGATTGATCCCCCAATTCTGTCAACACTCTGGGGTCCGCCTTCTTGGCCGAGATGATTGATATCTTCGTGGTGTCTAACTCCACCATATCCCTCCCCTTCCGGCCACTCAAACACATACCAGCACCAGAACCAAATAAGGAAGGAGACAGACACTCACTTCTCATTCTTTTTTTTTTGCTTTGTTTTCCAAGACCGTGTACATACCAGAGACGTCAGCATTTTCTTTAAAGCAAAAAAAAAAACAACGACAACAACCAGTTTCATTCTTTCAGAAATACTGAGACCCATTACAATTTTCACTTCTGCCTTTTTCTATCTATAATATCTTGCCTCCAGAGGAAGCTGCAGACAATAAACACAACACCATACACCTCGGTAGAACTTTATCTAACCACCCATACATACCGAGACACACTACGGTCACTCTATGGCTGCCTCCTGTTCTGGTGACGTCTCAAACAAGAAAAAAAAAGAAAATAGTCATATGGTGAAGGGGAAATAGAGTGAGTGATTGCAAACCAACGAAAAATTGGACCGTTGTGTGTGCGTGTGTGTGCATGCGTGGAATAATAAGTGATGTTTTTCTAAAACACANCAAACCAACGAAAAATTGGACCGTTGTGTGTGCGTGTGTGTGCATGCGTGGAATAATAAGTGATGTTTTTCTAAAACACATTCCTCGTTCCTCCACACTACATTCCCTTCTCTAGAGCTTACCTTGATGCTTCGAAGAGGAGGAGGAAGAGGCTAAGCCTTGTTTGCTGCTCTTTGCCTCGAAAACAACCACCCGCTGACTAGAGGTATTGTCAAAGTTGTTCACGCGGCGGATCATATCAATATGGTCGGTGGAGAGCCCGAGTGTGGCGCCGTGTGCTCGCTGCATAACGCTACGCTGCGTCACCATTAAAACGTCAAAGGACCCGTTAACATCACCCGTCGAAACACGCGCTGAGACAGCCGATGATGAAACAACGGCTGTAGTAGGAGTAGTAGTAGTAGGAGCCTGTGCATGTGACGACTGGGGTTCCGTCCGCTTGAGCTGCGAAACGGCCTTCTCGGCGTGAAGTTGCTCTCGTAAGTGTTTCTGCCGCAGACGCCACAACTCATGCTTGCGCATCAAAGCCTCAGACTGCGCCTGCTCCTTCTCCTCGTCTAATTCGATGAAGCTTCGAGACGTGTTACCTCCAAGGAGTGGAGCGTCAAATAGAGAGCTTCCCCCAACTTCTGGTGGGGATTCCACAGGGAGGATATCCCTCTCGCTGACGGGAGGCTCCATGATGGCCGTCTCATCGCCAATGACGAGCTCCGGCATGCCATCGTTCGACTCCCCGTCATCCCCAGTGAGGCGTGAGAAGGAGAGCTGGGAGCTTGTCATCTCCTTCTGCATAAGACGCTCAAAGGTTTGCTTCTTCTGCTGCTGCACGTTGGAGAGGAAGCGGTTGGTGATGCTGGTGGCAATCGTGGGCGACCATGTGGACGACGACTGCGATGCACCCGTTGGGGAGAATGGGTTGCTTGCGTCATTCGGTGCGTCGAGCGTGCCGATGAGCGAGCGACAGAGCACCTCTTTCATATTGACGTGTCGCGCCTCCTTCCGCAGCGCCTTCTGCGACCGGCGGAACAGAAGCACCGGGTCATCGGAGTCACCTTCCGCCTGATCTCCCCGGTGCCGTTTCTTGCT